AATCATCACCAGCATCATCACCACCACCATCTCCATCACCATCCCATCAGCTCCATAATCATCACCAGCATCATCACCACCACTATCTCCACCACCATCTCCATCAGCTCCATAATCATCACCAGCATCATTACCACCATTGTCTCCATCATATCACCATCAGCTCTACAATCATCACCAACATCATCACCACCACCATCTCCTTCACCATTGTTATTACTATGCTGGTATGAAAGAGCCATTCTCAGGAAATGCTCAGCCTTCACAGATGATCTTCACCTCGAAGTGCCAATGCCCATGCCCCCACCCGAGAAGCTGGCAATGGTGAGCTGCAGTGCTCTGCAGGGCATGCAGTAGCCCTCACGAGGAGGACCGGTCAACAATATTCCCAGCTCCCTACCACAACTGCTGACATTCTCACATTAAGGACACAATCTCTAGAGACTGAAAGTTTCAGTTACTTTTCAATGTGGAAGTCTCTATGACAAATATTCATCTCGGGTTTGGGACAAGACAGAAAACAGGCCAGGGAGGTGGGGCTTGAGTAGAATATGTGGTCCTTTCAGAACTTTCAGTCCCCACTTCCCCCTCGTGAGAGAGACCTAAGGTGGGCTCTAGCCTGTCAGGCACTGTTACGTCATCCACGGGGCTCAACTTCATGCTCCAGGAGTGGGAATGAAGCATGGGAGGTGGGGAGGGGGGGTGACAGCACCGCCCTGGGCATGTCATGAGCCTTTCAGAGCCACCAGGCCCCTTCCTCCTCAGCACATGGAACTGAGAGCCCCAGTGGAGGACCGCAGCTCAGTAGCCCACATTGCCCCAGGACAACAGACAGGATGGATAAAAGCTCGGGGATCTGGTACACCTTCAAAGTACAGGCTTTCCATCATACCCAAACCTTCTGAAGACTCAGAACCAGAACCAGCTGGTTAGCTTCCACGCTTCTCTGTTTCCCTGCTGGAACCTAGTGCTTTTGGTTTTCTGTTGCTTGCCTAGCTAGCCTCCTCCAATTGTGAAATATATATACCAAAAGCTAAATGTTACTCAAAAGGGTTCCAGCATTCTCTATACCTGCCTGGGAGAGGAGAAATGCTCCCCTCCCTACCCAGTTAGAATGCCTGACAGCGGCAGATGAGGTGTTCTTTTGATGAGATTTCTAACAAGACAAGCTGTCCTAGGCTGAGATGCAAAACCCTACTACATAGGTGGCTGGGAGGCTGCCATCACCCTGTCCCGGCTTCTTACATTAAATGCAGTACACTAGGTCTCCAGGCTCGCTCACCTCCCAGCTGGGCATGTACCTGAAGAGGAAGCCATGCTTCCCGGTAGAGCCCTGCTTTCACTGCCCTGTCCCCAACACTGTGACTAACTGTTGAGTGTCCATTCATCACTGCTTAGGGACTGCTGCTCCTTTGCAGCAGGATTCCTATGAAAAGGGTATTTCTGAATTTTAAAAAGGTCTCAGAAGGTCAGGATCCAGTTTGCCTCTATTTAATCTTCTGCATCTCTACATTTCCAAAAGTATGAAAGAAACTGACAAATAACCTAAGACATCAGTCAAACATAAATGGATTAATAACTACTTCAAATCTGTATGATCAATATCCAAATGCACAATGACTTTTATTGGTCTACTATTAAAGTATAAAAGTCCTTTAATTAATCAGTGATTTAAAATTAAATCAAAATGCCAATTTTCTTTTTTTTTTTTTTTTGAGACAGAGTCTTACTCTTAGCCCTAGGTAGAGTGCAGTGGTGTCATCACAGCTTACAGCAACCTCAAACTCTTGGGCTCAAGTGATCCTTGTGCCTCAGCCTCTCAAGTAGCTAGGACTACAGGTGCCACCCTGCCTGGCTAAGTTTTCTATTTTTAGTAGAGACGGGGTCTCGTTCTTGCTCAGGCTTGTCTCAAAATCTTGAGCTCAAGCCATCCTCCTACCTCAGCCACCCAGAATGCTAAGATTATAGGCGTGAGCCACCGTGCCAGGCCCCAAATTCCAGTTATTAAGGTGATGAGTTTATCAACAATTTAAAAATGGCCAACATAAGGGTGAAAGATACGAAGTGATCTCTAAAGTGATATCTAAAATTCCACATTTCTCAACTTCTGTAGTTTGTGACCACAATCAGGAAGGACTGAATTCAGTCAACTAGAAAATACAGTATGATTAACCAAAATCGGCCACTATGTGGTGACTTGAGCCTTGAAGTCCTTTGCTCCAAGTCCCCTCACGGGCCTCCAACCTCTCCCAAACTCAAGAGATGCTTTAATTTAGGAGAAAAGACTTCTGATTTCAATCTTCCCAAGTAATTTCTTTCAAGGTTTGATGAGGTAAGCCAGGGGTGGTAATGCTAATACAGGTTGTTTTAGTCCCCCCAAAACCTTAAGTCGAATTTCCTGAAAGCATTTGATCGATGTGCTAATACACCTGAATTTTTCAGCCTGTACCTAGTACCTGGTCATGGCCACTGTCAATGCTGAGCTTGCTATGGGTGCTCCACAGCGGGAGCACAGTCTGAAAACCTGCTCACAGTTAATGACGCGTAGATCCGTGTTGCTCGGGCATGCTGGAATGCCACCTGTTTGCTTGTTCATGGTCCCAGGCCTGGGAAGTGAATGTGGACAAGCGTTTCCTTGCACCTTCCCTCAGACAGGTACAGAGTTTGTGGTTTCCTTTTCACAGAGACTCTGTCCTGTACCCACCAAGGCCACTCAGGCAGCCAGGTATACACTCAACCCTGGAGCCAGAAATAGTATCTGCAAAGTCTATATTCCTTCCCCCATCCCAGACCTGAGAACAGGACTTCAATCCTCACCTGTCTGACTTGAAAGAGGGCCACAGATACATGGTCCCCAGGCTGCAGGGCACCAACTCCTGGTCTGCTTGGTAGGGCCCATGTAATCCGACCAACACCTCCGTAAATGGCACCGTAAGATGGAGATCAGTTTCCGGAGCAATCTTCTTTAGGAAAATGAGCTGGGCGACCACATCTACAGCCCCAGAACAACACTGGGCACAAAGGGCAGTTTCTAGTACATCAGCATTACTAGCACAAAGTGGTAACCTGCCACCTACCTGTCATCCAGGAGTCTCCTCTCTCATCTGTAACCTCTCTGGTCTTTACTTTGCTCAGACAGGTCCTTCTAAGGAGCCAGCCAACCCACTGGATGCAGATATACACAAATACGCCACCATGAGAGGACTTAGCATCCCGTGGGCACCATATTCTCATGCCCAAGGTGGCCTTTTAGGTCCTGTTCTCTGCCTGATAGTATTTGGGCTCCCAAAATGCAGTCCATCTCTCCACCTCTGGTGGCTGCCCAGTGGCCCATCTCTATGCGGGCATAGACGCTGCGGCCTGGTGGCTTCCCCTGGCCCATCTCTGTGCGGGGGAGTTCCAGACCTCATGTTCTACCTGTGGCCCTTGCCCACACAGGCCCTGCCTAAGATTCCCCTGTCCTGGTCCCAGTGACTCTCCTGCCTGCTGGGCCTCCTCCTTGGCCCATCCAACCACGTCACCCCTTGGGGCCCCTCAGCCATCTGGCCTACCCAACAGGAAGACCATTTTATAGTCACCCAATCTCAACACATGCCCACCGCATTGCTGCAGCCAGACAATAATGCCTCCCTGTATGTGCACAGCCAGCTTGGACACGTGTATTTATAGTCAGGATGCTTTACGTATCACGACTGCTCAATCACTTCCTTGTTCCCACAAGGCTGCCTCAGGTCCCAGTTGTCCCCTTTTATCCTCCAGCCTTCAAGTCACTGCAGTGCCCAGCACTCTTCCATAAGGCCCCGACCTATACTTCATAGGCAGAGGCCAGTGCCCTTCCTCACCATCACCATTCTCACCATGAAGATTTCCTTGTTAAGTCTATTCTGCAGATATGGACCCCCCAGGCTCAGCAGTTAAGTACCTTGCTGAAAAGGCAAAGCTAGTAGTGGCCTGGCTTCTCAGCCACACTCTCTGTACCCCAGGAGAGACACTGACAAGTGTGTGAAATGAAGGTACAGCTCTTTCCAGCAGGCTGGGCCTAACCCTTATCTCCTGCACTGTCTTTAACCACAGGTCTCTGCCTTGGCTTCCCCACCCTCCCAATCTGCTACCAAGGGCTATGGCCGATTTTGATACGAGGTCAAGATCGCTGAGTAGAAACCACCCTCCTTTGTGGCTTTTATCAGGGCTAATTTCTTAGTAGTCTCATTTCTTATCCCAGGTCAGTGTCCCAGGGAACACCACTCACCTTGCCGCCCAGGGGCCCTGCCAGGGGCCTCTCCTGTGTTGGGAAGCCGGCTGCTCACCCGCAGCCCACCTCCTATGCTGTCCGGAGATGCAGAGCCATTGGCCTGGCTACCCAGGGTGCTGATGTGGGTGGGGACAGGCTCAAAGGTGGGGTCCAGCTCCAGGATCAGCCTGTTGAGCTGCTCAATGGACTGGTCGATGTCCAGGGTGGGTGAGCCCGGGGAGGGGCCTGTGCTCAGCTCTAGGCCGGTTCCATTCATGACTTGCTCGTCTGGAAACCTGGGTTTGAAGGCTTTGCCAGGAGAGGCCTGCGGAGTGTCTGGGGGATGTGGTCCACTGCCTACACCTCTCTGGACGGCCACTCTGCTGCTGGCTCCCCTGGTGGGGGTGACTGGGACCCTGGGCTGGGCTTGGACAAGCCCTGAATTGTCCCCTGGGCCGCGGCTAATGAGCCTGGCCTCCCCGTCAGGGGTGAAGCTGTACTGATGGGCCACAACCATCTGCTGCTGGCGCACCCAGGTCTGCGTGGAATAGCTGTTTGGCCCGTAGGCCTGCGTTTGGGCAGACACTGATGGCTTCCTCAGCAGGGGCTGGGGCTGCTTGGGCTCTCGGGTCCCGAAAGCCCGCTCCCGCTCATAGAGGGGATCCATGCCAAGGCCCAGATCTGCAGCAAGAGCACCCTGCTGGTCCTCACCAACAGTGCTGCCAAAACCGTCAGACAGGAGGGAGTTCTGGCTGCTCTTGTGGCAGGTGAAGGGGCCCAGGGGGCCTGACTGCGGCCCGTCTGAGGAGGACAGAGTCCCGAGGCTGTCCACACTGTGCAGGTCGTGATGGGGCATCTCATCGTCTAGAATATCCGTCTCCCGGTCCTTCAGGACGGCATCTCCGTTCACATGGACCTGGGCTGGCACTACGTGGCGTGTCCCGCTATACTTGGTGCGAGCATCAGTCATGTCCTTGAGAGCAGTCCCGGAGTCTTCCAGGCCAAAGCCGCTGAGCAGCTGGTCTAGCTCAGCCTTCTCCTGGGCGCTCAGGCCCCGCTTGGCTCCTGGAGCCAGCCGCTCCTCCGTCTTGTCAGTCCTGACGGAGGCAGTCGAGTGGCCAGAGTCGCTGCTGACGGACAGGGTGTGGTCACTGTGGTCTGGGCTGCTGGTGGCCGGGACAGCCTGGGGGCCACCTGGGATGCCAGGGTCCGAGCAGCTTTTCTTCCTCACCTTAGCGTAGAGGCTGCCGTCGACAGGGCCCTGTGTGTGCAGCACTGCCGAGGAGAAGACGGGACAGGGGCTTTAGTCAGGGTGAAAGGGCACATCACAATCTCAAACACACACAAGCATTTTTCTGAACAAATAGATGAATCCCCGTTATCACTTACAATTAACAGGGACAAACACTCTTCTAAGACTGAGAAATCCAGGCTAGACTCCAGAGAATTCAAATAATCAAACGTCTTGAAGTGCTAGAATCACTTCTACCTTTCTCTGCAAAAAGAATTATCACTTAGAGAAGCTTTGGAATTCTTCACCCTCGAATCATCTCGCCTTGAGGCTCATTGTTAATTCTGTCATTGTTTTGCAGGTAGAGCCCAGCTCATCTCCTAAATCTCCAGGAATTTACTGTTCATCCAAGACAAAGGAGAGTCTCCATTTATCTGTCTAACTTTTGTCGAACATTGGCTAGGGGCCCAGTAACACACACCTATTAAGCTGAGTATCAGAAAATCTGTTAAAATCTAAGTATGGTAGTCAATGAAAAGAGAAAGTGGAGGGACCCATCTGGGCCTTCCCATTCAGTGTTGCACCTTCAGGCCAAGTAGGTGCTCAATGAGTGTGTCAGGACCACGGAACACTTGAGGACGGGCTGCACATGCTGACTGCCACACATGGAATGCCAAGACAACAAAAACGAGGCCTGAAATGTGGGTGGGAAGCACTGAACCCTCCATTGCTATTATTAATTACAGCCTTGGCTGCAGCGTTCAGCCACTCCCGCTGCTCAATCTGCTGACTAGCGGCCGTTAACTGCCTTGACCACACACGGCATGTCCCCACCGAGAGCCTCTGAAAACAAGCTGGAGTTTGCAGCCAGCACATCCCTGACCCCGTGCCTCCTCCGCCTTCCTTACTTTCCCAGCTGAGGAACTGCAGGCATTCCACAGCAAGGGAGCTGCTGGGGACTGAGCACCTGCATCATTTGAGAGACACGAGTCAGCCCCCACCTCCTGCTGGGGACTGAGCCTGGCTCTACAGCCCTCTGGAGGAACCTGCCCTGAGCATGTGTCCCCAGGCTCCAGGCTGGACATACATCCATGGTCAGCAGCTGCTGGTTTTTTTTTAAAACACTGGGACAATGTGTTGGAGCAGAGTCATGAGAGGTACTGGGGTGCTGGGCTGAGAACACTCAAACTTGGGCTTCCGTCTGTCTCAATTGTGTCCAGGGAGAAGCACAGGGGGTCGGGGGTGGCAGTGAACACCGGGGTAGACTCCAGTTTGGAATGGCCCCAATGCTCATCTTACTCAGAGCTTGGTGGCTGGGTGGGTCTCAGGATAAACACAATCGCTACAGAAGATTCTGTAAATAGACCGAGTCTTCAAGACAGGCAACTGGTGACAAAAGATCGTTGGGTGTGCCTGCCCCTGGGATTCATTTACAGGACGGGACTGGGGACAGCTGCTGTTCACTGAGCACCTCCTCCTTCCAGGGCAGGCACACAGCACACTTTCTCTAGTTTTCACAGCATGACCTCGCTAATAAACGTGATGTTGTTATTCCATGTTGTTTATCTATAAACAAGTAGGCCCCAAGAGAATAAATAACGTGCCCAAGATCAGGCAGCTGCTAAAAGGCACAGCAGGGCCCAGGGGGTCGCTGGCCCTAAAGCCTGTGTGTCCCTGCCTGCTCACTGCCACCTGCTCAGAGAGGGCCAGGAAGACAGACACCTGGGGGTTCTGCCAGGGGCCCTGTGCATGAGAAGGTGGTGCTGAATTCACTCTGCTCTGCCCAAGGATCAGTGAGTGACCCTCAGCAAGGCTTCAGAGCAAGCAGAGATGAAAGACCTGCTGTACCCAGATCTGTGCAAATTACATAAGATGAACCCCGGAAAGGCTGTCCTAAATTACAAGGCACTTGTAAATATCACCTCTAGCAGTTCCAAAAGTAAAATGCAACCCATTTGTTGAATCACTAGGGCCTGTGGAGAGGAAGAGTCCCTTGAAGAAGCTCTGACATCAAATAGACAACAGTTCAAATCCCAGCTCTACCCTGGACCCACTCTCAGGGTTCCACCAACTGGCACATCCACCTGCAACTTCCCAGCTGTAACATGGGGGTGTGGGTAGATCTCCCACATAAAGACTGACCAAAGAATTAAATGGCAAAGCAGACGAGGGAGTGTCTTTACAGTAAACATCAGTTTAATTTGTTTTCTAGAGCCTCTGTTGCCAGGAAAACTCAACTTATGTAAGACCTGGGGAGTCAGCCCTTCCTTTGACTCCGCAGAGCGTGAGAAGAGGAGGAAGAGGTGCTGAAGAACGGCTTCTGCAGAGACCTCCACCATAAGGGAGGGGGCTGCCCAGCGTCACCCCGCAGACCACAGACCTTGCAGGCCTGAGTCTGCTCATAGGGGTAGTAGCAGATTCCACATGTTAAGACTATATGTTTATAACTTCCATACCATTCTCCCTAAATCTAAATTAAAATGAACTTGCACAATGACCAAATTAAAAAAAAAAAAAAAAAACTCAAAAATGAGTTGTAAAAAAATTCATCTCAGTTAAGTTGGAAGGCTGCCCAGAAGTGCTTACTAATAGTTCTGAGGTAGACTCCTTTGGCTGGTCCCATGCGAAGAATAGTGCATAAGGAAGGGCCTATATTAAATGGCAAAGAGCATGACATTCCTTTGGCTGGGGTGGGGTGGGGTACGAATAATCCTATTATTTCTAACAATAATCCTAATTATTACTTTTATTAGTAGTAGAAACATAATGATAAATGCACAAAAAAATTACCATTTCCATTATCATGAACTAAACACTCCATCTCTGCCAGGCGCAGTTGTGAGCATTTGACACAGGGTCTCAGCAAATCCTAATGGCCCAGGTGGCACGCAGCTGCCTTCCCAGAGGGGAGCACAGCCACAGGACAGACAGGGGTCCCATCCTGCCCTGACTAGCCTGTGCTCTTTCTACAACAGAAAATGCCCAATAAATGTTAACCCACGGGGAAAAAACCTGAAAACCAATCCCAAGACAGAACCAGCCACGCTTCTGAATCACTTCTAAGGAGCACAGATCTTTCTAAGGTGTAGTGAGCGCTCCGGCAGGGTTGTCTGGGAGCTCCAGAGACGACCCCCCACCCACCTCACACTCACACATCTGTGATCTTGGGTGGGGAGCAGAGGAGTCAGCCTCAGGGGGAGGGAAAGAGAAGAGGCCTCCAGAACCTTCCCTTCCACCCTGCATTCTGGTGAAGGGCTACGTACGGCCTTGCAAGAGGAAGGACCTGGACATCAGCTGGACATGAGACCCTTTAGGTTCCCTTTACCATCACAGATGGGGCCAGTCACTCTGTTGTGTTCCTGATCATGACATTTAAACTAAACTGTTGGGGGTCCTGGCTCTTCATTTATAAAAAGGTATAATCCTCATCTTTCCAAGAAACTATGAGAAATGGAGGAAATGCATGTAAAGCACCAGCCCAGAAGCTCCTAATCAGAGCACCCACAGTTACCACCCAAAACTCTAAGAGTGGACACAGCCCTGCTCCCCTCCCTGGACTCATTCCTCACTGCCCGTCCTGCTGCTCCCACTCCCCTGCACAGACCCCCTGAGCCTCTGGTTTCTCAGGGCCTTTTCTACATCCCAGTAACCTTCCCTTCTGTGTCACCTTGCCCTTTGCACTGCTGCGTCCCCAACCAACCAGAACCAAAGGCCCTGCTTTCAAATGGAGCTTGTCCACTGTCTGGCAATGATTTCCCTGCAGCCGGGGCCTAGTTAAAAATCAAACACGCATAAATATAGCTCTGAATGACTTCCGGTGCTTGACATACCAGTGAGGTTTATTGTCTGGAAAAGAATCAGAAGGAAGAAAATACAGAGCAGACATTCTTGTTCTGTTGGAGGACAGCGCCCGCAGCCGCACCTCCCCACCCCCAACTACCTGCGGGGTGATCACTTCCTTCCCACCTCAACCCCACTTCTGAAACATGGCTTTCCTACAAGGAGACAAAATGGGTAAGAGGCACTCACAAAATATTTCAAAAGTGATCCAAGTAAATGAGACCAAAAAAGCAAAGATGAAAACATTCCTTCCCATCCCATAGACGTAGCCCACCTGTGTTCACAGATGCACTAAGGACCAGCTACCCACCACCACCACCTCCGGACGTCAACCACTCAGCAGCCAAAAAGATATTAATCATTGTCCATTGGCCCTGCTTCCAACAGAAAGTCAATATGAAATGAAGGAAGGACAAACGTGATAGATCTAGAAGCTACGTGCTATCTTTCTTTGTAATGTATGTACTGACCATATGACCTCATGTTCTATTTTTGGGATGGGTTTGCTTAAAAAGGAACTTTTCATTTCAAAAGAGTTAACAGTATCTTCCTTACAAGTCTTCAAGGAAGACATCAGAAACTTCTCCAGGAAAGTTAGTTAAGATTTGACTGAGCACTTGGTATGGTTGCTAGTCGTAACTGGGAGACTAGGATTTAAAAGGCATATTCAGAAGTGCCTTCTAGGTGTGGGGGCTAGAGCAGCCCTAGGGGAACAGAGAGGAACAGGGGATGGAAGAGGCGCTGGATGCCGGGAAGAAAGCATTCCCAGTGAGGCTGCAGGAGGAACAGAGAATTCTGGAAATGCCCCTCTCCTGCAACCCCTTCGACATTCTAAAGACAAAGCTGCTAAGTACCTCACATCCACCAGGCACACTCTTATGCCCCAGGGATCTCACTCAGTCCCCAAGCAGGCAATGGAAGGCCATTTTGCAGCTGAGAGACCAAAGAGCCTGTGCTAACGCCTGGTAAACAGAGCACCGGAATCCACCCCACCTCCCTCCACCTCCTGACCCATGCTTCAGCCTCCTTCTATTTCTGATCCTGATCACCCCCTTCTACATGAAATTAACAATTCAACTTTGGATAGGAATTCACCTGCATGTTTCCTCTGTAGTTTCCACAGAATAAATATCTACAGCAAGCCACACAAACACAGACAGACACTCCTCAGAGACTAGTGCTAAGTACTCTGTGGTTTTCTCCA